CCTACGACTGTGTACATTCGGGGAAGCTGACGGTGTTCCAACTAAAATAGTTGAACACAATAGTTGTTAAGACACAATAGTTTGAACATTTTCAAACGAGACGCGGAACAAAAACCAATACAACCCAGCTTGTAAATGTATGAAAATAGTCGTTTAGTAATACAAGTCTAGTTTCTTTTTGTTATTACCTCTTCTCTGCATTCACAGCAATTAGTTATATGTAAGAAGAGACGGAGTTTGTTTCGCTGCAATGAATAAGGCAATTCTTCCTGAAATGAAACACTGCGGAATTCCGGGTCTGTACCTACGACGACGAATTATAGATCGTTCTAGATAACAATAACTTGGTGTACACATAAAAGACATGTACAAGACATTAACTTGCATGTTTTCCTATTTCTACTTAAAAGGGAACAGAGAAATATCAAATAAAACGCTTTTAATAAATAGAAGTAAATAATCTACTCAATTTACGAAGAAAACTAAAACATTGGACAATATTTACTTCAAAGCAAAGTAAATATAAAACCGTAATCCCAAACTAAATGTCTCTATTCAGAATATGATCTAATATTTAGTGTATTATCTGGAATTCGATACTCTACATAAGTGACAAATAAACTACACTATACAAACATCGTCTGAAAGCGAGTGCAAACAGTACAAGTATTAATACGACCGTCTACTTGTATTTTAATTCTATCAATGTACCAACAATTTACCATTACAAACATATATTTGCCAAACATTTAAGATTTGACAAGCAAATATCAACCTTATTTATATGAAAATAAAGTAGTGGTACTTTTCCGTGAGTGTGTCAAATGTATGCAATTGAGGGAGTTTGTTTGACCCGTCCTAAGCAAACGTGCACTTTGAAAACCTATTTAACAAGTTTCCAATAAAAAAGTTATTTGAAATAAGTAATGTTACTTAGTTTCCCATATATTCTTCTTTTAAATATCTTGAGGGTATGTGATTTATTCAATAAAAAGCAGTATAACATACATTTAATAAAATATTGTCTTCTGATAGAGTAGTTAATGTATACTATTATAATAAAGCGTAAACACACACTTCTTTGTTGCATAAGAAGTCAGCAATTAGATCAAATTTTTGAATAAATCTATTTTTAATAAAAGCCCGTACACTTAACGTCACGCTTTAGGTTATATATTTTCACGCTATTAAACTTAGAGACCATAAGTTGCTGCATGTCATTTTGATATTTGTAATTGATAATTTGACAAATATAAACAATAAAATAAAGTTTTTATCATTTCATGGGGGTGAACCCGCACGGGAACAGCTAATATAAAGCATTACTTCAATATTTTAAACCGTTGTTTTGTACGAAAAGAGTTTATTTTCACTTTTTTTCTATTTGTGATCAGCTTACCTTCATTTGAAATAAAAGAGTTGAAAATAAACATAACGAATAGCGTCGACAATCAAAACGCCATTGCAATGGTCCCCTGAAGCGAGAGACGATATGAAATTGTTGAAATTACACTCCAGGGTAAAATACCCTACAACTTTCTCCTCGTATTCTTTCTGTATTTTGTTTAGCAATTTAAGTTACGACAAAACGAGTTGAGAAACAAAATGTTTGTAAAGACTTTATCAGATAATGGTAAAGAGTTTACCTTCGTGCAATACAACATAATAAATATGTAACTATATCATCTGATATTAAAAAAAAAAACTTCGAAAAGATACATCAAACGCCTAGAATAAAATTATCAATTACGTTTCATTTTTAAATTAAACATAATTGCTAATCATTAATATCAGGAGTATAAAACATTACTTTTAAATGTAGTTATTCTAGACAAAAAAACTTTTTAAAATATTTTTTTTCTTCATTTAAATGCATAACTTTCAGGGTAAATTCAAGATTATGCAGTTTTTTTATTATCTTGCTGCCTTTATTAAAAACAATTTTTCAAGATGTTATAAACAAACAACACATATTATAGACAGAATAGAATAAACCTAGCGTATTAATGATAACTTAACTATTATGAGTACATTAGAAAGTTTGGATAATATTTTTAATAGAATTATGTAAATTTGTCATATTAACGACACCCTAATATCATGCATCCTGTTATAAAACTTTGAAATCGTTTTATGGAAAATCTTCCCCCTCACTCAAGTCACGTCAGAACACGGACTGAGTTTTTATCTTATTATCGGTTTCTGATTCGTTTCTGATTGATGTATGCGACGCTGACGAATATCTGCGGGAATCTGTGGGGATTACAAGATTGATATTCCTTCTTAAGATTTATCGACACAATAGAGTTGAGAATGCCAAATACGAACTACTAAAGCTCATCGTACAAGGCAAGATCCACGGAAAGCGAAGTGTAGGTCGAAGAAGAACGTCCTGCCTCAATAACCTACGTCAGTGGTATGGAAAGAGCACCCGTTCACTTTTCAGAGCCGCGGTGTCAAGAACGAAAGTCGCCCTAATGATCGCCAAACTTCGAAAGAGGATAGCACTTTAAAAAGAAGAAGAGTTGAGTTTCCATTAGTCTAAGAAAGTTCGCTTTAAGTACATGCAAATAAACGCAGTTCCTCTTACCAGGGTGTTTCAGTTGCACGTGTGATCCCCTAATCTTATAAATTACTGGCAGTTGCACGCTTCGTCGACGTGAAATTAAAAAATATAGCCTATGTTACTTACAGATAACCTTTCTGACGGTGAAAGAATTTTTACAATCGGCTCAGTAGTTCTTGAGTTATTTAAAAAATATAAAGAGAAAAATCTTTCCTCTTTATAATATTAGGATAGAAACATATTCGAGAAGAACTAGTCATTATCTCTGCTTACCTCCTATTAGTATACTGTTTGTGAATTTAACCTCTCCCTGCGAACTTTTTAGTAAGTATATACAAAGCTAGTTTTGTTTTCTACACGTAGAAAATACTTATAAATGCAATGAATGCATCGTTTTAGTATTTCTTCAACGCCTCTTCAGGCAAATATAAATAAAAATAAAGAGAGAATATCGTATATCAAGGCAACCGCATTCTGCAAAGAATAAATAAGAACAAAATATTGGCTAATAATTAAAACGAGTGCACGCACGATTATACCTTGATACAAAACATAAGCGATCGCGGAATCTCACATATATAAAGACATGGTTTTATACTACAAACATTTAAGTATACCTAATGCTATTGAGGTTGAACAGGGCATATTTAAACACACATTTAATCCATGTAAAATCCTACAACAAAGTATCTAATTACACATTAAACGAGACTCAGATCAAACAAAAGTATTCAGATATATATTAATGTCTATCCAAAATAGACAAGATATAGGCAAGAAGCTATTTATTTACTTGTATCATCATCACCAGTTCACTATACGTCCCCACCGAGGGGCTCAGAGCCTACCTTAAGTAAGGGGCGAAGGTGAAGGAGTAGAGTGGGTGTTAATTGTATCCATTTGGATCTTTCTATTTATCAGTTATATTTCTATAATGTTTTATAGAGTATGTGAAGTATGTTATCACTTATAACTTGGACCAGCGGCTATCGAGCCGAAGCTTTTAATCCGTGAAATACGACGGCCAGGCGAGACACGGCAGCGGACACCGCGCTCGTTAGCGATTTATCGAGGCCTCCTGCACCGCACCGGCTTATGTTATTAGCTGTCCTATGTATAATGATTTTAATACAACGAGTAATGCATATAAGTATATTACGTTGTATGTATTACAATAAACATATATAACAAATATAATATTGTTTATTGCATATGACATATATATGCAATAAACAAGATACGCAAGAAACATTGGTTCATACAATATATTGACTTAGATATTACCAAACAGTGTCTCACAGACGCTTCTAAACAGAAAACTTTATAGTTGTATATTGTGGTCATTTAATGTTCTATAACTACTGTGAATTAAAGGTAATTATATTATGTAATTGTTCAAATACTAATAAGTACTAAACCAAAAGACCGATTTGCAAAGAAGCATAGGACAAGCTAGACTATTTTTTTCATAACCCATTAACCTCCTTGCTTGCATTTAATAAAATTCCAAATCTAAAATGCATCTTATCCCTGTTAAAAACGGAACGTAACCGCATACCTTTTATGACGTCACAAAAAGAAAACAAAAGCATACAATTTGTCCAAGTGAGTGAACACTTTCTCAAATGTAAACATTCGTCCCAAACTCATTACTATTTTTCAAACCTTAAAACTCATTAATATAATGTTATAGCCCTACTAACAGTATGCTAAAAGTGAAAACATTTCAATTCATCCGCACATTTTATAGTAATGTGTATTTATTATATGAAATTACATAGTAAGCTACGGTGACCATGATTACACTGATGTCAAGACTGTCTACTTTAATTATTTATTAATATTTAAATGTTATACTAACTCGTCCGGTAATTGCATATTTAATCAAAATGGTTATGATGCATGAGCGATTTAATTCAATTTTCAATTATTTTTGCTAGCATATACTATAGTAACCTAAAAATTGTATAGTTTTAACACTTTTAGATGCGAACCAAGCTACAATTTAGATATTTACACTCTCTCTTGATATGTTACTAGAACAATAAATTAGTAGTTTTAATAAAAATAATAATTCAGTCACTTAACGATTTATATCGAAACATTTGAACCGCTGTAAATGTTGGCACAGTTTTCCTTATCCTTAACTCTAAAATAACATAAAAACTACGCGCTTTAAATTATTTATTAACTAGCAATCGCCCGCAAAAAAAAACAAAAGCAAGTATCCTATGTGTTCTTTTAGAGTATCCTCTACATCTATGCTAAATTTCATCCAGATCTGTTCAGCCGTTTAAACTACAAACTAACAAATATCAATCCATCCATCTAAACTTTCACATTATTAATATAAATGGGATTAGAATATTAATATATTCAGGACTTTGTAAGGATGGTCACCCACACCTCGCTGGCGAGTGTTGCAAGAGAGAAAGCTCTCGACCGTCTTCCGAGTCCGCACTCGTCGCTCGCAACGGTACTCGGTACACACTACACTATGGTGAGTATTTATTTATCTTTTAAAAAGACTTTGACAAATTATTCACGCTTATTTTATCATTTAATCCTTTTAAAAATAAGTTTATCTCTTATTTTCTTTAAACACCAAGGATAAAATAATTTAATGTTTATTTAGAGTGGAAATGTAATTTGATTTACTAAATTGATTTATGACTTACATTATAAAGTCGTAAATTTAAAACAAAAGATTTCGTTTAATTTCTAACCTCAGACTACCCACAATCAGTTAAAAATGTGTTGAGAAGTAACGAATAATCCAGCATTGTTCAATATTCAAGGGCGCGGTTCAGAGTGAAAATGCAAACCTGAACAAATGTGAGCTTGTGATGAAGATTAAATCGCGGCTGAACACCTTCGACCCCACCAAGGCTAAGGAAGTGGGTGGAGTGTTTCTATTCAATATCATCAAGGGCACATCTGTTTATAGCTGGAGTAAGTATTGGATAACCTTGGATTGCATTTCAACTTGTGGAAAAAGGTAATAAGAGCGGGCGCACAACTGTTGTGCGATTGTCGATTGTTTCGCAGCCAATTCAACTGTTTAGTTGCACAACTAAAAATCGAGTAGTGCGCGCACTTCCATGCTTGTAGGAATCAACGCACGACTGAACAGTTGTGCGATAGTTTATTCAAAGGTGTGCGCTCGCTCTAAGAATATATAAAACCTGGTCAAACCTCATCATGTTTTAATGGTACAAAGTTAGTTCAATGTCATTCCGCAATATGGCGAGAGATTTTATATTTCCGACCAGGCTATTATATTTACTTCTTAACAAGACCTTTATCTAGCAAATCTAACAACAAACTGTAATTCTGATGGAACTTTCAATAGACCTATCTTTGTCCAGGACGTAACTTACTTCCCCACTTCTAGAAGTTGCTCGTACTAATTCTACTAATTATCAAAGTCAAGTATTAATCAAGGTTTTTAAAAAAAGTATAAAACCCTATTCTTCTCTACAGCATTAGACCTTAACCAGGTGACAGCATACGAAGGTGAGCCAGAAGTAGACCCGGACACAACTTTCACCTTGAACGAACACTACTTCAAGCAGCTGGTAACGGGAAAAGAGGATGCAAGAGTCATCATGCAGGCCGGTAGATGCTCCGTCACAGGGGACATCATGCGCGCTATGAAACTTGAACCTTATATTAAGTTAGGTTAGAATTGAATTGCATTGATATAGTTTGTCTAAATAAGATAGATTAGTTTGATAAATGACGCATATGAAATATCGAATTCAATTTGTATGAAAAAAATGCCGTACTTAATAGACAGGTATCGTAGTGACGAACAAACACGCATAGCGAACAATTATGATCTATCGATATTCAGTTTAAATGTTTATCGAACTCAACTAAAATTACTATTTTCTTATTAACTAATTTAGAGTACAATTCTAGTATTGATTATAGTGTAGAGAATTTAGCGATGACAGAAATAATAGCGAAATCCAATTCGATTACGTACGGCTCTAGTAGTAATAAACTTTTATTTACTCTCATTATTTGTAATGGTTCTGCAGGTCATTATTAATTTGAGAAAACAGTGATTTTTTTTCATTCATAAGTTATAACTATGAATCTATCGATTCCAACTTCTATAAGAATAAAAATCGAAAATCGATAAGATTCATGACTGATTTTACACAACCCATCCCTACTAAATTTCAAATGAATTGTCAAAGTAATCCATCATTTAGACACACTATAGTGATTTAAATATAAGAGTATCAAAGTACTTGATACGAGCGACCCATTTATTTGTCCACCTATTTAAATGACGTTTAATGTATAGTTAATCGTTAATTAACTTAATTTGTGTTCCAAGAACGTTATTCAAACAAAGATGCCTGGCCCGGTGAGAGGTGATGCTATTACACAATAATATTTTCTTTTATTTTTGAGCAAAATGTTTTTGAGTAAAGCAAATGTTTGGAATAAGCATATTAGTGTAGATATACATAGAATTATTTACATTGTCTTATTGTGTTTTTAAGAACTAATTTTATGTATCTTAAGGCATTTTTAAGCAAATGTGGTTATGTTACCTTAAGTATTATAAAAACATAAAGATAACCTGACGTTTCCGCTACTTTCTGGCCCATTTGCTAATTAAAAACGCATTTACTTACGAAGTTACTAGCAGTTTTAATAAAGTTTCTTTTTTTATAATTTTTGTATAATTTAGACTCTCCGGGTATGTTAGTTTGTAATTATTTTTTAAATAGTAAATAGTTTAAAAATAAAACGAATGTACTTGTAAAACTGTTCTTTTATTTAAATAAAAAGCAACAAAGTCGTTAATAATGCGTATACATCATTTCCTACTAGCTTTCGCCCGCGACTTCGTCCGCATGGAGTTGAAAAAAACAAAAAAGCCTATGTGTTCTTCCAGATTTAGACTATCCTCTACGTCTATGCCAAATTTTATTGAGATTATGTTCCACAGTTATGGAGAATCCATCAACAGATGGCGCCACCTCGATCAAAATTGTAAAACAAAAATACTACCAACATAAAACATTGCTCGACAGTGTTTTTAAGAAAGTCTATTGTAAAAAGCATCTTGTATTTTAAAATAATAGAGGAATAATTACACGGTTCACTAGAACAAAAAATCACGCATGCACAGATCTATAACGATATTATAATAGCTTCCAAATTTAACAAGACAATAAGCATTTGAAAAGTATGACGATAAATGACCGCAAACGTTACTTTGTTTATGTTAACGGAAAGAGAGATCATGATTGTTTGCATTTCGATCCATTTTGTTCATATTCTTACCGAGTCTCATTAAAAATGTTTTAAATTCAAAAATATTAATAAGCGTTTAAACTAATCAGTTGGTGCACAGACTGGTTTCGCGGTTACGGTATCTTGGGTTCATTGGCTAACCGGTCAAGAACCCCGGCTCCCGGCCCTGACATTACCATAGATAGATATACCTATTAAACCTTTTTTAACAGAAAAAAAGTTAGCTATGCTCTATTAAGGCGAAGGCGGGAGATGTCTATCATCTGCGAATGATACGTAGCTTGGATTTAGAGGAAGTCGTGTAGAGAAATGTTTACTATTTTATTTGCTAGGCGGAAAGAATTTAAGATACCTAATTTTTTAATCCATGAGTATGGAATATACAATTAAAAATTATTTTTAAATACAAATTAGAAACGAGGATTGGAATGGGATATTATATTTAAATGCGAATAATGTCACAAGTGCAATTAATATTGCACAAAACCGGATGTTTACGGACAAATTAATTACACGGTTCAAAGAGCATAATTGCAGGATAGCGGCTCCTTAACTAGAGGACGAAGGACCTGCAAAGCCCTTGGACTGATAACAATTAGCATTTTATACAGTACACATGTGTGCTTAATACATTGAAATCACAGATAATATATTTCTATGCTATACCAAACCTTAAAAAAATTATAATTTGATTGACTAAATTACTGCAATCAGAATTTAGAGATCGCTAACATTCAGTGTAGTTTTTATACGACAAATCTTATACGATCGTATGTGGCAATAAACTCTTTGTGAAAATATTTGTTAGGGCTGTTTCGTAAAAAAAAAACAGTAATTTGATACATTTTTGTATCAATGACTCAGTTTAATTAATGTTAGTATTCAAATGTGTCCATTTTACTTTCAACAAATAAGGCAGCGACGTCTTTTATACGATTAACTTGTTTCTATTTCTGTTCGCGAGTGTACCGGTAAAACGAGCTTTTGCTTGAGCCGGCTTATTTTCATTATTTACATTCAATTGGCATCAGTTACGGCTGACCAGCACAGACTGAAGAGGCTGCAGTGTTAATCATTACAAAGGAAAAACGAAAAATGGCGGGAAAACTTACATTGTTTGTTTTTCTTTCTATCATCGCTCTCAGCCAGGGTAAGTTTATTTTAAAAAAAATATCACAGGATTTAAGTGTTTTTTTTTATAATTCAGTTCGTTGATTATTTGCAATCCATATTCAGAAATGCCAAAGCTTAGTAATTTATTAAAACTTTAGTGCGATCTTGTGCTATTTCTATATTTTGAATTGAAAAAAAAAACTTTATCGTGTACATTGTGTTAACACTAGCAGTTTATTTTATATTTTTAAAAACAATTTTCATCAATAGGTGATCAGAATAATTACGAGACCAGCAGAGTTAAAGTACCAACCGGTAAGATGAACGGTTTCTGAACGGGCTTTGGGTGCATATCATTCACGTGGGAATTTATCTAGCTAGTGTTTTTTAAAGAAAAAAATCTGTAAATCAATTTTAAGTGTATTAAATATAGAAGTTTTGCATTATAAGCAAATGCTTAATGAATAAATATTCAACAAATATCGAAAAATAATTATTACAATCGCATTATTGCAATAACAAAAATTTCGAAAATGATTTTTGTTGTATATAAAAAATGACGCTTGATGTCTCTTAAAAAAAATTGAAAACTCATACAAAGAAAGCTTGATTAATTGAAACAATACGACTTTAACTGAATATCGTGACATAATTAATTTTCCATTGTCATCATAGTAATAATTCCATTTTCATTCACAATTCATTATTAAAAATGTCTGTCATCATTTCAAGCAATTAATGTTAAAATATTAGTATAATGCACGTAAAAATATTACCAACCAATTAAAAATAATTTATTTTAATATCAAGACGAATTTATAATCTAGTTTTTAGGGGGGAAAACTTGGTTATTTCAACACTAAATACTACTCGTTCCTTTGATATCAACTGCACGTAACCTAACCAACATCATTCATTCATTTAACAATTCATTCATCAATTCACCAACAGGTATAGGATTTAGTCAAATACTGGACTATTTACTAGGAGGCTACGGAAACGGGCATTACCCGGACCGGTACCCGGGCGGATATTATCAGGGCGGTGGCTACCACGGACAATATCAGGGTTACCATCCGGGTCTAGTGGGCCCCCCGGGTGCTCATCCAGGTTGTCCGCTCTGCGATTCTTCGGTCTACAGCTACTGTTCCTATAAGCAGGCACATGACGCTTGCTGTTGCGAACATACTGGCTGTAAGTATACTAGAATATATTATCTGTATATAACTTTTTTTTTAATTTCAGAAAGACAAAAGCTAGCTAGCTGTCTCAAATAGCGTGGTTCTGTCACCAGTGAGTCCATACATTGACTTGCTGTCCAACTGGCTGTACTGGCCAAGTGTGAACAGTGCATGAAAGTTGCGAGTCATTTTTTGGAGTAATTAAAATGAGCTTGACCTACGTAAGCGTTTGAATTTAGGAGTGCACAGATTAAAAAAGTCGAGATTCTTTTGCAAAATGTTGATTAGTTAATGATATGTTAGTTATGAAAGTTAAATCTAAGTACTAATCAACTTTTTTAGATTCCATTTTTATATGATCTGTGCAGAAATAAGCATTTTCAATTCATAAACATGTTTTGTTCGCAGTCATGTCGTTTCACTGCCACAGCACAAACTGCAACTTCGTGTACGCCAATTCTTGCGAGGAGTATCATCTAATCAGCAACTGCTGTTGTGTCGATGTTCAGAAGAGCGCCTTACCTAATGTCGTAGTATAGTCAACATTAATGCGGAAACAAGTAGATTTAAAATGGTATAATACGTGATAGTTTTAAGTCAAATAAAATGAATATAGAATTATAATGGTTGTTTTTTATGAAACTATTTTAATATGAATAAATAAAGTCTGCGTCTATTAACATTGAAAAAAAAAAAGAAAAACTACACTGAGAAGGTACGATGGTATAGCTTTATGGTAATTTTTGGCGGGTTTTGTGCGTGATTTGAACCCAGGTTAGGTCTAGCCTATCCTTAAAAGCCCTTAAAAATATGGTTTAAGCATCGGTAATTTAATGAAACATCAAATTAGATTTACTCATAATCACATAGTTAACGCTAATACAAAGCGAACAGAATTTGAGGTTACTCAGCTTGTTAAGAAGACTTATAAAATGAATGTGGCACGCTGCGCAACACACGTCTAACTTTAACACTATGTTCACTAAAGCTTATTAGCTGCGGGCGCTGCAAGTTGACTAAATCTAACACAATTTTGAATATACAGTTCATAACAGTACGACTGGAACATAACCTCAAAATAAATATGCTTGTATTTTTAAAGTGGTGTCTTATAAATGCGAAAGTTTAGATGGATGGACCACGTAACTCCAGAATCGATAGATCTGAATGAAATTTGTTATGATGTATAAGACATAGCGGTGAAAATGGCATAGACTCAAAATAAGTTTTTTTTTACTCCGCGCAGACCAAAGCGCGGGTGACGGCTAATAATTAATCATACTAGTTGGACATTTAGATGGATGGATGGTTGTTTGTTAGTTTGTAACCTTAACGAACGGATTTCGATGTTTAATATAGATGGACTGGGAATAGAATGTAACAACCTGTATAGTAGAACCGCGACCTTGAATCATATTATAAACGTGAAAGTTTAGATGGATGGATGTTTCTTAGTTTGTAGCCTAAACGACTGAACGGATTTCGATAAAACTTGATACAGATTTAGAGGATAGTCTCAAAGAACATATAGGCAACTCAACTCCGTTTTTTTTTAATTCGCCGCGGAAGGAGTCGCAGGCGAAAGATAACCTATAATTTTCATTGTTATGGCAAACCCGAATATTGTATAAATGGTAAAAAAAGAAAACACATTGTGGCTTAATGTATATATTTAGATACTACATGCTTATTGCCACTCGGAGTAATTTCTTAATTAAAGGAATACAAGAAATGTTTAACTAAAATACACTTAGGCGGGAGTAATTCATGATACAGTATGCATAGAAGATACATTAAAGTTTCAAGGAAATTATAAGGAAATTCGAATTTAATAAAAATAATATTTCTTCCAGAATGTTTCATCAGTAAATTGAGACAATTTTCTAATTTTATTTCAAAATATCAGTTTAAATAAAACAATTTGTAAATTCTTTACATTTTGCTTTAAATGGCCATTCTACTAAACCATAAAGATAAACAATTTTTGTCTTTGAAATTTAAGGCTAAGGATTACAACCCATTCAGCCAAATATACTATTCTTCAAGTATCATAACCTAATAGTTTTTTCCTGAGGTTTTAAATCATTGTTGCGAAATAATACGAGGTTTAATCATTTAATGGACTTATAATACACAAGAAAATTAAGTTTAACAATAGAGACTTACATTTAATGAATGTTATTGAGTAAGAATACAGAGCTATGGAGATACCAAAGTTTGTAAAAATTTCAGTTCTACCTGACACTTATTACTAGGTTTAAATTGTAATTGCATTTATTGAATTTTCTCGTTTCTCATACAAAATTTGCAATACTTCAGTGAAAAAGTAATTTAACAGAAAAAAATAATCATGTGAATATTATATTTTACATATTAAAAAAGTAAGTTTCACAGCAGATTCACTGGCAAAGTCTTTTTGGCAAATTTGACACAAGTTGACAACAAATGTAAAAAAAATGCTTAATTTTAATTATAGTCAAACAAACAAAGATGTCTAACCCTGTAAGAAGCATTGCTATTGTTTGATTCTATCAGAAAATAGACTTTAGGTCTATTAGACATTCGGTTCTTTTTATAAAAGATGGCTAACAAGCAAGCGGCCATCTGAATCCGCAAAAACAGTTCCTAGACATTTCCAATTGCCGTTGCCTACCCTTAATCGACGTAGGACACGCACATAACGAGGATAATTCCCCGTATTTCCGATTTCGTCAAATCCACTTTCCCTTCCCATCCTATCTTTATAAGAAAAGGGTGGAAATGGAAAAGGATTAAAGATAGACCTCACATAGATACTCATCAGACTGTATGCGGAATTGCTTCAACTTCAGGCTCTATCACTATTAAACTTTAGGTAGAATTTAGGTCTATAAAAGAGGATTTGATAATTTGCGAGCCCCCTGCCAATGTCAAAAATCTGTCAAAATACTTTTAGTACCGTAATATTTTTTTCTTTTATACAAATTTTCTGATAAAAACAAGCAATAGCAACACCTTGTTTGACTATACACTGGATAATTGTGCATTCTGCCATAGCATCTATGCGTTATACAATTCTTGTCAATGGAAACATTATCTTGAATTGTAATACTTCACTTAGAAACAAAGCGTCCATCACACTGAGAAATAAAAACTTAGTATCACTAAATCTCCGGCAGAGCCCTAGGGCTTCAACGCATCCTGTAGTGATTCTTCTCCTTCACCTGACAGAGTTCTCCTTTGAACTCTATCTCTACTTCAAAGTCCAGGTCACGATTGTTTCTCTCATTCTGTTTCATAGAGAATGTGCCCATTATCTCTTCACCTTTTTTAACCTGGAATTTACAAATCGTTATTTTTTTTATCTATACTTAATTATAAAGAGAATATATTTGTATTTCTGTATGTATTTGATTCATGTAAAAACTACTAGGCAGATTTTAAAAATTCTTTAGTCATAAAAAAGGTAATTTATCCGTAAGTTACATAGGGTAGATGTTTTTATTATTTTTTTAAATTCCGAATAAACGAACAACTCTGTTCTTCAATCTAAACATTTAGACAGTTAATCTTATCAAAATCTGAAAGACTAAGGGCCTGTCCCAATACTGGCTGATAGAGGCTCAGATAGTTTAAAAATGACGTCACTGTCATG